AATTCTCACCACTTTTTTTCCTTTTACACCCAATGGATTTGTTTCGTCGGATAATCAAGACTGGATTCTCTGGCATCAACATTTTATATTCAACTTTGTTCCTGTAAATATTGGGAACATAATTTGTCCTTAAGTTTTACTCTCAAAATACTTGTGGCTGCCCAAATCTTTCTTGGTCTCAATAACTACTTGTTTCCTTTTCTCTCTATATAGGGTTGCATGTGGAAGAAATGGTAACATAAACCTTTTAGTAGCACTTCCATATTTATAATTGAGCCGTTACAGAAATAAGCTCAAACACATGTGTTCCGAAGATGAACAGACCGCCTCCGTGGTCTAGTGGTAGAGCGTCCGGGGTTCGATCCCCGACCTCGTCATACCCAAAGACGTTAAAAGATGGTACTTGTTGTTACCCTGTCTGGCGCTCGGCATTCAGGGGCTAAAGCAAGGACTTGTCGGCTGGGAGTCAGTATACTGTGTCTGAGTGGGGTATTCATGTTAAACTGCGGCATGGTATCTCAGTGTGCTAGCACTATAAATCGGCATCAGTCCAGACTAGTATAAGCAGCCACATACACACACACACACACATACACGTGCATGCACGTCGCTATATAAGTGCAATAATCTTGGACGCGACGTTAAACCCCATTTCACCTCACCTCACCCAAAGATGAACATACACGTAAGCAGAGTCACAATGGGGAAACTTATTGATAAGTTAGGTGCTAGACCACCAAGTCAGGTCATGTTTTTTATTCCATAGGGTGTAAATAACCAGCTACTGTTGGTTAAATGATCGGAAAGTTTCCTGTGTTACATATGAAAACAAAACAGATGTCCTTACTCATATGAAACATAGTAAAGAAACGTGTAAAAAGTTGCGGGTGATAATTGTTTCTGCAGAGCGACATGGCTTCCCACTGTTACCTGAGGCAGGTAACGAGGAAAGTTGCACAGACTCTTTACAGATAATGGTGCTGTTTCCCCTACAACTCCTCAGCAGGCATGGAGATGTTTTCTCTGTAAACCTGTACAGCGTAATGGGTGGCCTCTTCATGCCATCCTGTCCCATGTCAAAACCACAGTGTAGGATGGGACAAATGTGAAATCCTCAACTCTGCCAAAAGAACCAAACTGTTACATACAGAATGCCTCTGACTAAACAAGTGGTGCCATTTTTGAAGGCAAGTTTACATCTTGCTCTGTGGGTTCACAGTGGGCTTCTGGCATCCAAGTTTGATAATATATTCCAGATGGATGGCTTGGATATGTAATATCATCATCATAAAATATAACAAGATCTATAGCTTTTTTACTGACAGATTCATGGTGTGGGACAAAGAAGGAATTCTAAAAATGTATCCCTGTGATAAAGTTGTTACCCTATTCCTGTATTCATGCTGTGACATGAGGGAGTGCTTAATAGTTGTCCTACAAGTAGCATCTGGGAAATTCAACACACAAGGCAACTTTTAGTCAAAAAGTTGTAAAAAACATGCTTTATACAGTGTTATGATATGCTCCCTTTTAAATATGTAAATAAAAGCAACAAAACCATTTGAATAATCTTAAGAAATCTCTGTTAATGGCAAGAGTTCATTGTATAACTATATCATAAGCATGTGATTATGAATCACTATAAATTAGTGATGATAGCAGGTCTTTGTGAAGAGGTGAGCTTATCCTGCCCCATAGGCAGCACCTGTCACAAACACATGCAAAGGCAAGTCAACTGTTCACTTGAAAAACAACGGGACCATGTAGTTCAAGTCAAAATATGCAAATGCATCAGACCTTTCACTCTCCAGGCAGGACCATTATCCACTTGACCACAAAGGTGGTCTCATACTTCATGGGGGGCACGGGTGGCCCAGTCGTCTAAGGCGCCGCGATTCGCTGTGCAGAGTTGCGTCCCTTGGGCACGCCAGAAACCTATGATTGTGGGTTCGAATCCCGGTTCGCCCCGATTATGTTTGTAGGTTTGTCAGCGACATACCCGTGCTCGTGGGTTTCACCGAAGTGGTAAACGTCCGAGACCTGCATCACTTGGGGCTTTCCTCCCACATGAAGCTGACACGCCGCAATATAACTTGAATATTGTTAAAAGCGGTGTTAAACCCAACTCACTCACTCACTCACTCATACTTCATGTGAATCACATTCAGCAACCGTTATATTGTATGGACAGCCTTGAACAGTTTGTTTAAGAAATTATGCCTAAAAAATATAATTCATCTTGCTTCACATTTAAAAAAAAAAGTGGATGAAATGATTAATTTATCGTTGCCCTAGATATATATCACTTGAAGTAATTGCAAATAATTGTTGTAGAAAGTTACTATGTATTAAACCGTAACCATGATCAATAGGCCTGTGGCCAATATGTCCCAAAAATAAAAGATTGATTGGCAACTAAAGCAGGATCACCAGCCAAAGTATTTGATGAATATTGATAGTACCTAGATGTGCCGGCATCGCAAGTGAAGCCCACCATCATCTGTGACTGCTGATTGGGTGTCATTTCGATAGTTTTTTGGCTTCTCTATTGACCACAGGTTTGTCTGGTGTGGTCAAATTACACCTGTGGCTGCCATGACGCAGCTATAAAACTAATGACTACAGAGTAAAAGTCAATTCACTCAACCGCTATTATTCAGTACAGACTAATAGGATCGAAAACATCGGTTTTACGGCGTCAGACCACGCTTCAAAATAGCTGCCTGCACGTTACCTATGTTAAGTTACGTGGACCCAAATCCCATCTGTCTAGTAGCTTTCTTTAGATAGTTTTTCACATATCTGTGAACTTTGACATTTGAGGGACTGTACCAGAAGGCGAGGACAGGTTAGAATTGTAAAGTTGTGAATGTTTTCTGAAAACTCATGTTCCTGCAGGTAATAATCTGAAATGGCCACCTGTTCTTGCACCATCCAGACTTCACAGGATTCAAAATTCCATTATGGAGTGCCAGTGATACGGTTAAAATCATAATTGCATGGTTAAAATGAGTTCCCAATGCAGAGCTCCAGATAAGTTTTTGGTGTTGTGGGTATTTTACCCATGCATTTTAAAATCATTGAGTATCAGTAATTCTATCTGGGTATTCAAATTTCTGTAACCCACTAGTTTTTACACATGTGGGTATTTAAGTTAAATATTTAACAACACTATTCATTTAGTCCCTGCAAACTGGTGTCATGTGGGTTAGAGAGCTTTATAGGACTCGCAAATACCACGATACTTCCACAAGAAAGTGTGATGGCAAATGATCTTGATGTAACTGTCATCGTGGAGTTTGGCAAGGTTGACGGAATGACCGTTTATAATTTCAAAATAAGTTGCTGATTCGCTGTTGGAATACGCAGGGTTACTTCATAATATTTTGATGATACGCACAAGTTTTATTTTTGTAGCGTATCTGTAATGTTTAATAACCATTTTTTTTATTGACTGGACCATGGAGGAAGCGGGCATTTATCGACTGGACCCTGGAAATGCAGGCAGACAGTTTATTGACTGGACCATGGAGGAAGTGGGCAGACATTTTATCAACTGGACCCTGGAGGAAGTGGGCAGACATTTTATCGACTGGACCAATGAGGAAGCGGGCAGACATTTTATCGACTGGACCATGGAGGAAGCAGGCAGACATTTTATCGACTGGACCCTGGAAATGCAGGCAGACAGTTTATTGACTGGACCATGGAGGAAGTGGGCAGACATTTTATCAACTGGACCCTTGAAGAAGTGGGCAGACATTTTATCGACTGGACCAATGAGGAAGCGGGCAGACATTTTATCGATTGGACCAATGAGGAGGCGGGCAGACATTTTATCGACTGGACCAATGAGGAAGCGGGCAGACATTTTATCGACTGGACCAATGAGGAAGCGGGCAGACATTTTATCGACTGGACCATGGAGGAAGCGGGCTGACATTTTATCGACTGGACCAATGAGGAAGCGGGCAGACATTTTATCGACTGGACCAATGAGGAAGCGGGCAGACATTTTATCGACTGGACCAATGAGGAAGCGGGCAGACATTTTATCGACTGGACCAATGAGGAAGCGGGCAGACAAATTTATCGACTGGACCAATGAGGAAGCGGGCAGACATTTTATCGACTGGACCAATGAGGAAGCGGGCAGACATTTTATCGACTGGACCAATGAGGAAGCGGGCAGACATTTTATCGACTGGACCATGGAGGATGGGGCTGACATTTTATCGACTGGACCATGGAGGAAGCGGGCTGACATTTTATCGACTGGACCATGGAGGAAGTGGGCAGACATTTTATCGACTGGACCCTGGAGGAAGCAGGCAGACATTTTACTGACTGGACCCTGGAGGAAGCAGGAAGACATTTTATCAACTGGACCAATGAGGAAGCGGGCAGACATTTTACTGACTGGACCAATGAGGAAGCGGGCAGACATTTTATCGACTGGACCATGGAGGAAGTGGGCAGACATTTTATCGACTGGACCCTGGAGGAAGTGGGCAGACATTTTATCGACTGGACCCTGGAGGAAGTGGGCAGACATTTTACCGACTGGACCAATGAGGAAGCGGGCAGACATTTTATCGACTGGACCATGGAGGAAGTGGGCAGACATTTTATCGACTGGACCCTGGAGGAAGTGGGCAGACATTTTATCGACTGGACCCTGGAGGAAGTGGGCAGACATTTTATCAACTGGACCAATGAGGAAGCGGGCAGACATTTTACTGACTGGACCAATGAGGAAGCGGGCAGACATTTTATCGACTGGACCAATGAGGAAGCGGGCAGACATTTTATCGACTGGACCAATGAGGAAGCGGCATACATTTTATCGACTGGACCAATGAGGAAGCGGGCAGACATTTTATCGACTGGACCAATGAGGAAGCGGGCAGACATTTTATCGACTGGACCATCGAGGATGGGGCTGACATTTTATCGACTGGACCATGGAGGAAGCGGGCTGACATTTTATCGACTGGACCATGGAGGAAGTGGGCAGACATTTTATCGACTGGACCCTGGAGGAAGCAGGCAGACATTTTACTGACTGGACCCTGGAGGAAGCAGGAAGACATTTTATCAACTGGACCAATGAGGAAGCGGACAGACATTTTACTGATTGGACCAATGAGGAAGCGGGCAGACATTTTATCGACTGGACCATGGAGGAAGTGGGCAGACATTTTATCGACTGGACCCTGGAGGAAGTGGGCAGACATTTTATCGACTGGACCCTGGAGGAAGTGGGCAGACATTTTACCGACTGGACCAATGAGGAAGCGGGCAGACATTTTATCGACTGGACCATGGAGGAAGTGGGCAGACATTTTATCGACTGGACCCTGGAGGAAGTGGGCAGACATTTTATCAACTGGACCAATGAGGAAGTGGGCAGACATTTTACTGACTGGACCAATGAGGAAGCGGGCAGACATTTTATGGACTGGACCATGGAGGAAGTGGGCAGACATTTTATGGACTCGACCCTGGAGGAAGCAGGCAGACATTTTATCGACTGGACCCTGGAGGAAGCAGGCAGACATTTTATCGACTGGACCATGGAGGAAGTGGGCAGACATTTTATGGACTCGACCCTGGAGGAAGCGGGCTGACATTTTATCGACTGGACCAATGAGGAAGCGGGCAGACATTTTATTGACTGGACCAATGAGGAAGCGGACAGACATTTTATCGACTGGACCAATGAGGAAGCGGGCAGACATTTTATCGACTGGACCAATGAGGAAGCGGGCAGACATTTTATCGACTGGACCAATGAGGAAGCGGGCAGACATTTTATCGACTGGACCAATGAGGAAGCGGGCAGACATTTTATCGACTGGACCAATGAGGAAGCGGGCAGACATTTTATCGACTGGACCATGGAGGATGGGGCTGACATTTTATCGACTGGACCATGGAGGAAGCGGGCTGACATTTTATCGACTGGACCATGGAGGAAGTGGGCAGACATTTTATCGACTGGACCCTGGAGGAAGCAGGCAGACATTTTACTGACTGGACCCTGGAGGAAGCAGGAAGACATTTTATCAACTGGACCAATGAGGAAGCGGGCAGACATTTTACTGACTGGACCAATGAGGAAGCGGGCAGACATTTTATCGACTGGACCATGGAGGAAGTGGGCAGACATTTTATCGACTGGACCCTGGAGGAAGTGGGCAGACATTTTATCGACTGGACCCTGGAGGAAGTGGGCAGACATTTTATCAACTGGACCAATGAGGAAGCGGGCAGACATTTTACTGACTGGACCAATGAGGAAGCGGGCAGACATTTTATCGACTGGACCAATGAGGAAGTGGGCAGACATTTTATCGACTGGACCAATGAGGAAGCGGCATACATTTTATCGACTGGACCAATGAGGAAGCGGGCAGACATTTTATCGACTGGACCAATGAGGAAGCGGGCAGACATTTTATCGACTGGACCATCGAGGATGGGGCTGACATTTTATCGACTGGACCATGGAGGAAGCGGGCTGACATTTTATCGACTGGACCATGGAGGAAGTGGGCAGACATTTTATCGACTGGACCCTGGAGGAAGCAGGCAGACATTTTACTGACTGGACCCTGGAGGAAGCAGGAAGACATTTTATCAACTGGACCAATGAGGAAGCGGGCAGACATTTTACTGACTGGACCAATGAGGAAGCGGGCAGACATTTTATCGACTGGACCATGGAGGAAGTGGGCAGACATTTTATCGACTGGACCCTGGAGGAAGTGGGCAGACATTTTATCGACTGGACCCTGGAGGAAGTGGGCAGACATTTTACCGACTGGACCAATGAGGAAGCGGGCAGACATTTTATCGACTGGACCATCGAGAATGGGGCTGACATTTTATCGACTGGACCATGGAGGAAGCGGGCTGACATTTTATCGACTGGACCATGGAGGAAGTGGGCAGACATTTTATCGACTGGACCCTGGAGGAAGCGGGCAGACATTTTACTGACTGGACCCTGGAGGAAGCAGGAAGACATTTTATCAACTGGACCAATGAGGAAGCGGGCAGACATTTTACTGACTGGACCAATGAGGAAGCGGGCAGACATTTTATCGACTGGACCATGGAGGAAGTGGGCAGACATTTTATCGACTGGACCCTGGAGGAAGTGGGCAGACATTTTATCGACTGGACCCTGGAGGAAGTGGGCAGACATTTTACCGACTGGACCAATGAGGAAGCGGGCAGACATTTTATCGACTGGACCATGGAGGAAGTGGGCAGACATTTTATCGACTGGACCCTTGAGGAAGTGGGCAGACATTTTATCGACTGGACCCTGGAGGAAGTGGGCAGACATTTTATCAACTGGACCAATGAGGAAGTGGGCAGACATTTTACTGACTGGACCAATGAGGAAGCGGGCAGACATTTTATCGACTGGACCATGGAGGAAGTGGGCAGACATTTTATGGACTCGACCCTGGAGGAAGCAGGCAGACATTTTATCGACTGGACCCTGGAGGAAGCAGGCAGACATTTTATCGACTGGACCATGGAGGAAGTGGGCAGACATTTTATGGACTCGACCCTGGAGGAAGTGGGCAGACATTTTATTAATTGGACCCTGGAGGAAGTGGGCAGATATTTTATCGAATGGACCCTGGAGGAAGCGGGCAGACATTTTATCGACTGGACCATGGAGGAAGCGGGCAGACATTTTATCGACTGGACCATGGCGGAAGCAGGCTGACATTTTATGGACTGGACCCTGGAGGAAGAGACAGACATTTTAATTAATTGGACCCTGGAGGAAGCGGGCAGACATTTTATCGAATGGACCCTGGAGGAAGCGGGCAAACATTTTATCGAATGGACCCTGGAGGAAGCGGGCAGACATTTTATCAACTGGACCCTGGAGGAAGCGGGCAGACATTTTATCAACTGAACCACTGAGGAAGCGGGCAGACATTTTATCGACTTGACTCTGGCAGAAGTGCAATAGAATGAAGGTCATGCTTCATCCACTTTGGTGAAAGGATTATGATCGTTGATTGTTTCCAATGCTCATTTCTAGTCAGGCTTACCTATTATTTGTTATCAAGACATGGTCAGACGGAGCACCTTTAGAATACAGTACCACAACTATTTGTGAGGACAATCTCTGCTGTAGATCACATGTCTGTTTTTGTGAGAATCCGTTGGACATGCAACTTGCAGATTGTTAGCCTGACAGCTAACTGACAGAGCTATGTCCACACTGTGAAACTAAGTGCAAATTTACCTAGCCATGCCTATGACGTTATGGAACTGAAGGATAAGGGCTGAATAGGTGACACACTTATGAAGGTCAAGGGTTGGCATGGTGTCTCGTGACTTTAGTCTTCGGACGCTTATGAGTGATTCTGATGCCATTTGGCACACTCGTCCCATTCCATAATCTATAAGATACCGAGTGGTGAGGAATGAGCCGATATGGTGCGAAAAGAAAACAGTCCCAGGCATCAGGCACCAGATGTCGACTTGTGGGTAAGCATGAATGACCCTGATTATCGTAAAGCTAGGTTTGATTGATCATAAAGGGGATCCAAGGGCTAAGAATAGTGAGTGAGTGAGTATGGTTTTATGCCGCTTTTAGCAATATTCCAGCAATATCACCGCAGGGGACAGCAGAAATGGGCTTCACACATTGTACCCATGACAAGCGAACACTTTAACAGCTAGGCTACCCCACTAAGGTTAGAGTTCAGTGTAACCTACCAAAACGCCGGCGACATTTGGATGTGTTCAGCGCCAATATAATATACCTTCTAAACTGCATTCCTGTACATAATAATGAAAATTAATGAATCGAAAAAATAATATACGTATATTAGTTCCCATTTATAATCATTTTAGCAATTTGAAATAGAAAAAAATGAAATAAAAAACATATTAAAAATATTAGTATTTTCATAAACTAGGGCTTGCTATTAATTGTTCTGCCACAGGCAATATTTAGTAAACAAATATTAAAAACTGTCAACATCGCTGGGCTAATTCAACGACATTGCGTGTGGAGATGATGGATCACTTAGAGGAGCTTATCCACACTCAATGATTCCTGATGTCACAGGGCATTGTTTCTCTGGTGTGACTGGCAACAAAATGCTACAAATTAAGTCATAGGGTATTGTGACCTGTGTGAAAAGTTTGTGGTACTGTATTCTAAAGATAGGCCGGTCAGACATTCCATGTCATGGTGTCAGAACACCATGGTTTAATATTTTCTGTAGGAGGAATCTGTGCAAGGAAATGATAGATATTGACCATTCACTTCTGATATGTTACTACCTCCGTGGTGTAGTGGATACAGCATCTGACCAGACGGCTATGTCGGTGGTTCGTTCCCCGGCCACATCATGCCAAAAGACATTGAAATATGGTACTTGTTCTTTCTCTGCCTGGCACTTGACATTAAGGGGATAAAACAAGATTTAAGTGTCGATGTACAAACGATCTTTGCGAGGAGATGATCGAAACTCTCATACCTTAACAAAAACTTACGACCTCTTTGGGACCCCCGTGAAGATCCGGGGTAGAATAGGTCTTCAGCAACCCATGCTTGCCGTAAAAGGTGACTACGCTTGTCGTAAGAGGTGACTAACAGGATTGGGTGGTCAGGCTCGCTGACTTGGTTGATAAATGTCATCGATCCCAATTGCGTGGATCGATGCTCATGATATCAATCACTGGATTATCTGGTCCAGACTCGATGACCGCTGTCATATAGCTTCAATATTGCTGAGTGTGGCGTTAAACAACAAACCAACCAACCAACCAACCAACGACCTCTTTGGTCATGTGGACAAGGCATCTGACCTCTGATCAGAAGGTCTGTGGTTCGAATCTCATCACGGGAATTGGAAATGTTATGGCTGCTACAGTAGCACTGTTTTGTACAACGGCACCCTGATCTACAGAAAGTAAACTGTGTCTCAGTGGGGTATCTATGTTAAACTGCAGCTCGCACGTGCGCACCCACGCACACACTGACTCTTGATTTCCACACATTTCTGATTTGTACATTTTGAATGACAATCCGTTGTCATACTCAGACAAGAAAATCCCTTTTGCTTATGTGCAGCACATAGCAAGCTTCTCTTGTATTAGTACAGTCAATAGTGTCAGCTCTTGAGAGTTGCTGATCTACTGTATCTGGACATGCCATGAAGTTTGTTAACCAGGATAAGGCTCCAGAGGGGCTGATGGCTCCTTGCGGTCTGAGGCTGCTGGAAGATGCCAGAAATGAAGACTTCTGTCAATGTATATTCGGTTTTATCCTCTATAATTCTCAGTATCTCGGGACACTGGAAAAGAATGGGTTTGATTGAAGAGGGCGTAAGTTGGCTGGAATCATGGATGTGTTATAACCAAATGAAAATTTGAGGGTATATTAAGGATGTTGAGATGGTAATCAAATATAACGAATGGGTTCTCAGTGGTGGAAGCTCCCTCTGGTCATGTGGTTGCGTGTTATCCTAACATGTTTAGATTTACACAAATACTAAATTAAAATCTGGATTGATATGTTGATCTTGAAATGTTTAGACACGACTAACCACCTCACATCAAATAAAGTGAAAGTTATTTT